AAGAAAATAATGAAGAACGAGAATCTGTAAGGCTGCATTCAAGACGAACATGAGCTTCATCATGATATAATTGAATGACATCCAACCTTCACCCATTATATGTCTGCAAAGGGAAAGCCCAAGTTCGCCGAGATTTTCACTGATGATCAATAAACGCGCCATGAACTCACTGCCAAAGACTGCCGACGTTTTTGTAGTTTCGATGGGTGGCTCGATAGATGTGGTTGGCGATTTTCTCGATTTCTTCTTGTCGTTTCTGAATTTCAGTGGAATTCGATTGAGAGCACGCAAATTTCAACTGAAGTTTTTAGAGAAATGTTTGAATTCGAATCCGTTCCAATCGAACCAGTAAGAGAGTAGAAAATGTCACCACAGGCTTCCTTTCTAAAACTCGAAAACCCTTACAGAGACATTTTCCTCTGGTAACTCGCAGCATGCCTTGACAATGGCTCGTAGTTGGATTCCTGAAATATTCCCAAATATGCAATTTTGCTCTGCAGTTTCATTCAGTGAATAAAGGCAAGTTCTTCTTTTGCATAACTCTTTGGTGAATTTTAGACTTTTTTAAAAAGAGTGTAACAATAATTGATGATTAAATGCTTAAACAACCTACAAAAGAACTGCAGCGATGAGAAGGCTACAAACCACCACATTTCTGTTTCTTCCTGTTGAATCTCACCATACAACCAGTTTTATTAAAGTTTTCGCGACATAAGGTGAACTCTATCCATTCGTGACCTGGCTTTAGCAGCACTACCAGCTACTGTCTCACTTCTGCCAAACGATTGCACAGCCTAACCACTAAAGGGCGAGCTGGTTGGTCAAGCGGAATGCCTTACAATGGAATTCAACCCAAATAGACAGCAGCACCTACTTCTTTTACGATGACATAGTTCTTAATTGATTAACACCATTAAGTTATCCTGAAGAAATGTGGCTATCCCAAGCAGGCATGAACGACAACAAATAATATGCTTCCTATTAGGTGTTCATGATTCGCAAAATTTTGAGTTCCTCAACGCTTTTGGCCCTTAACCCGAAAAAAGTGAGAAGTCTACTCGATATCCATCAAAACACAAAGTCAAAATGTAATCGGTTCGAATTTTTATGACATCTGACTTTCCCATAAACCCAACTGAACACCTATTCTCTCCGAAAAATCTTGCTGTAATCTTCTGGTTTTGTGGGATTCCGAGCATGCTGGATCTATACCAACCCATCAATTCTCCAGAGTAAGTGGTGTCTCATGCCCTACGTAGATGGTATTTCATGCCGTACTCGCCTAGTAGAACAAAATTCTCCCTGCGAATTGATTAAGTCCGATGAGTCACTGTACCAACCAAACAAGTCCTCACAATCAGATGTGTTTTTTGATCCTGGACGGAAGTCACCCAATATAGGAGATTTTCTTTGCTTACCAAAGACTGAGCACGAAGGAAACTTGCCATTGCTCCTCTGAAACTAACCTGACCACCAGTTTACCGACCTCCAATAAAGATGCGGCAAATAGAAGCAAAACGCCAACAGAACCAAAACAAATTGTACCCACTAAATGAAAATGAAATAGGGGAGCGAATTCAGAAGGGGTTGGATCAAATCATACCTGATAGTACGGTAATTCGGCTTTTTCTCGATAAGCGAGATTTGGCATATTTGGATCGTTCATCGGTATATAATACGTATTTTCTACCAAACAATAATCCCTAGTGTATTCCACCCAACCTGGAATTCATCTCAAATTTATTATTGAACCTTTACAACGCTGGATGGCAATCAAATATTCCAAGAAAAAATCGAAGCAATACTTGCCTCCTCTGAACTCGGCCGGAGTCCAACAAATAATCGGTGTGCCCATGTAAAGCTGGAATTTGCTATACTCATTACGACATTTCTTTAAAATCTCATCAGTTGTACTATTTTTTACTTTTTGGGAAAATCTGCCAAAGCAATTCTTAAGGATATTCTGGCATTTTGTAAAGTGCTTAAGACTTCAAAAAACCTCTTTTATCACTGATGTGGACATCGCAAGTCTTCCTTATCGGTAGCGATTTTGTTGTAACGAAAGTAAGTGACAAAACTGAGAAAAACATTCCGTTCAATTGAACTAGTGGAACCCCGTTTTCCGAACAGTTTACGTTCCTTTCGTGTAATTTTGATCTTTCTTTAGCCGAATCAAATTACCTCTGCATTCGAGCATCTCTTAAAGAGCCTTTAGAAAGTTAAATTATGATGATTGTCATTCAAAGAGAACTATTTACGATCAATTCAGAAGATCTTTTTGACAGGCATGGGTTTGGAGGATCGCTACGATTTTAGATCAGCAAAAGCATTTCGTTGAGTGAATTAATATCATGAACGAAGATCAGCTGCATGTTGTATGAGTATTTTTACAAAATTGTTACAAAAATGGGGTAGAGTCTAATTTTTTTCATAAAAAGTAATTTGAAAGAGGTCTCACCTTAGAAGTGATTATAATACTCCCAAAAGAAAAGAGGTAAGCGGTGAATTGATAGTTGACTCTATCGAGGAAATCTTCTTCGAATCTCCTCGTCTGGAGATTTGACACCACCTTCAGCAGGGTCTCCATTTAGCTACTGTAATATTACTATACTTCGTAACTAATTTTTTTCAATTTTTCCCCAAATCGGATTTGGGCAAATGAATAGCTTATCAACAGCCATGGTACTAACACCAACAGCAGTCATGGAATATATAGGGGAGCTCTGAGCAAACAATAGTCCAGCCAAGGGAGAACGTCCTATCAGTAGTGACTGATTGGAACGATACATAATGCACACAATAAAGTCACAAGGTCACGAACGGCAAGCTCCGAGTTATCTAGGGTCAACCAGGGCTTCTCCTTGTGAACAATAAACACCTCATACTTGGAAGTGAAAGTTCAAAGTGGTTCCCGGCTCCTATATACTGAAAATTTTCATAATTTCTTCTTTCCCTAGCACTATAAGAATGCATCGCAGTCCCATTAACTGTTTTGAAATAACCTGAGCTTTGGAAATACTTTGAACAAAATCCAAATACCAGAAGTTTCGATATATTATTTTGGGTACCCAAGCCTACACTTCTGATAGGTACACCTAGCCAAACTAACTATAATATACGAAGCCACACGATTCAAAGGGGTACATACCCACGAAAGAGCCTTCACACGGGAACATTTAATATCTTCTCCCGAACTATATTGAATTCACTATTTGAGATCAAGATAGTACTTTAGTTATTGGACCGTGTGAAAACGAATTTAGGTTACATACATTACTTTCAAGTATTACAAATTGTTAGGAGAACGCGCAAGACTGAGATCGTCTAAAGCATTGCCTTAAGAAGAACTCGAGAATAGTTATAATTGAGTAAGGATTTTTCAGTGAATTACTTGTAGCCTCCCTGTTGTTTCCCTATATAACTGAAGGGTTAGATTCTGATAGGCCGCAGAAAAGCACAAGGTTATGGTATAGCGATCATACACGTGCGCGAAACAAGTTATGACTCAGGCTTCCTCTGAAGTGTAACAGCCGCTTCATACAAATGGCAGCAATAGTTCAGGTCGAACTTGGCTCGAAGAGAAGGTTAAATCGAAAGAGTTGACTGAAAACTCTTCTGAACAACTTCGTAGTGCGCACTTGTACCAGTAGCAGGTCAGGAACTAGCCGGTGGGTCTATGTGCTTCAAACATTTATTCGGAAGGATATTTCCCTGTTTTTCAAATTGATTCATTCGAAATATGTACCAGAAACCTGAGCATTTTATGGTGGACCACCTGCCTTAATACGATGTAAAGATAAGGGCGTCGATTTTTTTATGAGTCAAGGAAACTTTTGGGGACTTTTAGGAACCCTCAGCTTCTAGTAACTAATGATTATTGGAATCCGAAGAGTCTTTTCTGAAGACCCAGGAAAAATCTATAGACAGCAAGTTCACCACATCACAAACTAGAATATGGAAAACTATGGCATTTGGCAGAATATGGTGGAAACTATGGCATCATATCACGATCAAGACCATTCACCCTGCTCAGAAAATGTGATTAGCTTTATAATAACTGCAAGAGAATGAAGGCTGCAAGGGTGCTATAATAAAGTACGTACGTAGAAAGCGGTCATTTCTTATCACAGCTGTGCTCTCGGTTATACTCGGTTCCGTATTCGGTATTGATAGTGACAGAGCGGCTGATAAAGCAATGTGTACCATGTAGGGGCTGCTTAGAGCCTCTATCGTAGCATACCTACAACCATTCCTTTAATGACATATTTGTGAGTCGATATTCCATATATGTAGAGCCAAGTCTGACTTAAAATCAAGCAGCCTTCTGTTCACTTGGGGATCAACTCAAACATCGTGATTTTTATGCACTCTTATATCTTTCACTACATCTTGGAACTCTAGAAGAGTAGAACAATCAAAAAATTTTATCGAATGTCCTATTTTTGGCCAAACTAATGCGAACTCACCTCTTAAAGTCGTTTTCGATGCACATGATTTTTGATAGTGAACCAAATCAATTCCATTGATAATCATTAGCAGAAGACTCCATGCATTTAATTCCTCTGAAGAACAAAACTACTTACTTACTTTTAACTGAGGGACCACATACTTTTCTGCTGATATTTCTTTTTTTACATTCCCTCTGATACTTGGAGAGTGCCTTTCTGAACTCATGGAACTGCAGCCAATCGTTCGCTCTGAGGGAAGGCAGCGAGCGGACTTCAAAGTCACCCCAAAATAGATGCAGCATCGCTAAGTAATCTCGCTAATTACACTCTAAATTTTAAAACCGGCTGTAGATTGATAAGGTGATAGCCCAAGTCCTTCTCTTCCCATAACAGAGACAGTCTGACTCTCTAATTTCCATTTTCCCTCCTCTCCTCCTCTGCTACGGATTTCGTTCTTTGGCGTTTACCACGCTCAGAAATTTCCATATATCGTTGATATCGTACATATCGTTTCCAACAACAACTGTTTCATATAACATGAAAATTTTAGGGATCTCTGAGGGCGCCTCTGTGGGCGTTCATCTTTCGGACGAGATGCTTACGAACCTTAATCACTACATTGAACGGGTGAAATCTACTCACGATGATGACTCGATAGATCGCTTGAATTATGTGAGTCAACCTTCTTTTTCGGGTCAAAATTTTCACCCATCTGTCTTGACTAAATAACATTAAAGGTAACAACGATCTATGTTCTTCTTGGCTTTGCACTTACGCTGTTCGCCAAGAACTACGTCGGAGAACCAATGCAGTGTTGGGTTCCCAATCAATGGACGGTAGGAAATGGTTTTCGTTTTAGAAGGCTAATACGATCCTCTAAGGAAATTATAAAAAAAATCTTTCCATATGAGATAACAAATTGAAAGTTCAGGGCACGTGGGAGGCGTTCTCTGAATCCTACTGCTTTGTAGAGAATACTTACTTTGTGCCAATGAATCATAGTAATCTACCACCAGCAGATACAAGAGAAGGCCGAGAGATGATCTACTACCAAGTACGCTCAGATTTTATTTTTTGTTTTGAAGTTGGCAGTTTACTTTCTAAGGGTTTCTATGTAAATTTGGAAATATATTACTTCTAGATAGATACCCTAAGAAGATAAACACCTGGCAACAATAAGCACCGAAATTCTATAAGATGAAGCCAAACTAGTCAACAGAACAGGCAGAGATCATTGCCTTACTCTATTTCAAGTTTTTTGGGTTAAAAATACCAATGACTACGAAGCATACCGACTGGAAATACAATCCGACAAATTTTCGGGATAAAAGGGATGTTTACATGACTAAAAAGTGGCAACATCGCTTTGATTCAAGAATAAGTTGTCTGTTACCATATTTTTTAATCGTCATCAATTACCAAATTATTTTTTTTATCAGGAGAAAAATGAGAGTAAAAATTGTCGCAGTAAAACGAAGTGGGTTAAGCAAACCTTTTCAGTGGGTTCCATTCATTCTGTCCCTCATGGCACTTTTCTTCTACATTCCTCGTGGAGTTTGGAATATTTTTTCTTCTTATAGCGGTACGTTCCTTCAGAATCACTTCACTCATTTTTCTAAACTTGTTCTTTGATTGGCTCTGGTACCCGACTGCATGGAAAACAAGTCTTTGGAGTCCATATTTTGTAATAAATTTTTGTAACACTAAAAAAATAGTCCCGATTTTGAGGTCTCGCATTAGCTGATCTCATGACAGCAGCAAGAAAATCTGCGAAGACTGGAGCCGACGATCCATATATCCCGTTAGTGATTTTGATCGCTTGAACTTTCGAGTTCAACATTTTTTTCGCCTTTCAGATCAATAGCACGCACGCTTCAAAAAGTGCACACATCGAAAGTTGTCCGATATGGTTCCAGTCTTTTCAACCTCTACATAATAATGAAGGTTGGAACAAGAATTCTAGAGATTATATTTAGAAAATGGAATGCAACATGAAATCAATATGAATTCCCCATTCACAGAAATGTACCCCTAAAGATCATTTGTTGTGAAACCTTTAAAACCGAACTTCTGTATGTTTAGGTGTTGATTTTTGGTAACTTGTTGCTGCAGTTCTTCTGCTTAAACCATTTTCTTGGCACTGAGTACACCTTCTGGGGACTTGGTATAGCGCTTGATATGCTTCGAGGACGACAATGGCAACAGAGTGGACATTTTCCCAGGGTATGAACAACTTCAATTTTTTTGACTCCATCCAAATTTTATATAAGCCGAGTTATCTTCACCTATAAGTGTTCAAGCCAGATTACATGAATTTATGTATCAACGAAATCGATATTCTTTAATCGGCGGTGAGAGGAGCTTGTTTCGAGTTGTAGAGGACAGCAGGTACTGACTACCTATAGTGAGTCACATATCCAGAAAAAGCTCAGGTCCATAAATACGATCAACGATCAGGATTTCCCATAAGTACGATTGGAAACTGAACTTCCCTTAAAAGGTCTTAACGAAAGATATGTCAGGTTGAATGTTAGGAATGCAACGGTACAAAACTCGGGAAAGCAGGAAGAACAACATTCATCACAATCCAGTAAATTCATTTCGATTGTTGTGATTTTGGAAGGCATTACATCATGGGAGAAGTGGGGAAGTGGCAAGCAGCGCACTATCTCACACACATGATCCGGGGATAGGAAAGGTGATCGATGCCCAGGCCGACCAACCCCTCCACCCTTCCGGGGTTGATCGACTGGAAACAGATTCGTCTGACAGGGAAAAAGCACTGAACTGTGCACCAGCTGGCCACCGAAAGTCATTGGATAGGCCACCCAGGCACTCTAACCACTTCTACGATTCTGAATTAGAGTTGAATGGGGGGCGCATCCTATCAAGGACATGACTGATTGACGCCAAAACTTTATCCTTTATGTTTCACTTAATCTTACGATTGGCTATTAATTACACTATTTCCACTGCAGGTTGCCTTCTGCGATTTGACTGTTCGTGAAATGGGGAATGTCAATAATTGGACTGTTCAGTGTGTACTTATGGTAAGTGGAACTGGTGTTGTCCAGGTATAAACAGATTGTTAGCAAATAGCAAATACACGATTAGCAGCTGTCAAATCTATAGGGTTCGCTGAGCACAATGCTCTTTCAATGCTACCACCACTATACTTATATTACGAAGTTGGCTCTATTTTCAAAAATAAGCTCTTTAAAAATTACAGACAACTTTTCACGTAAGGAAATTCTCAAAAGGACTCATTCGTTGCAGAAGAAGAGCTTTTGAGCCATAGAGCGCAGAGTTAAATCTGTTTTTATCTCATAGACTGTACTCCGAACCAGATGTTGCCCGAAGAGTGCGAACAGGACGAAGAACTCCGCTGCACAAGGCCTAACAACGCCTGACAACTGTCTTCAAACAGCTCTTCCGTAGTTGGAAGCATTGCTGGAAGAGAGCTCACGAGCTCACTACGAACCCAGACCCCTGTCTCTGGTGGCAATCTGATTGCGCCCATTACCATCAAAGTCCACAGTAGCCCTCATTAGCAAATAGTTGGCACATTAAAGTTGCTGCCCACAAATGAAGGGAGAACCAGAAGCAGCTGAGAATCGGTGGAATGAAAATCTCGTCACTGTAGCTGATAGTAGCTGATATTTTATTGCCGTTGTACGAATTGAAACACATGAAATTGTTTCCGATTACAAGTGAAAGCCATATGCATGGCGTCTTCTGACAGATCCTGAAAAAAATGCTCACCGACGCCCTCTCAATTTGTTTTTACTCCTTATTTATCTACAGGAGACAAAATAACCTCAAAATCTATACAGGTGAACATGTTCAACGAAAAGATCTTCATATTCTTGTGGTTTTGGTTCGCTTTGCTGCTCTTCTTCACTTTCATAAATCTATTCACTTGGATTCGTCGACGATTCAGTACGTCTGCTAGGAAAACGTTCCTTTTCAACGTTTTGGTGAGTATTCACCTCTTCGCTTCCTATTGTCATAGATTTCTCCTGAACTACTTAACTTTTCAGACGGACAGTGGACTCGACACCACCGAGGCCGAACGAGAGGAGTTCTATCGGGACGTGGTGCAAGACGACGGTCTGCTGGTGCTGTTACTACTTGATGCTAACGGAGGTCGTCTTCAATCTGGAGAACTTGCTCACCAGTTGTGGACCTCGAAATTTCCCCAACACGGTGAGTCTCTGATTACTGGAGTTAATCAATCCTGTTTTCGAAGAAATGAAGATTCAGCAAAAAAGCTTTTTTCTCGAGCTCCTCAGGTATTTGTGGATAAATCAACGTTGTTTAGATGACAAAACGATCTCTACTGTTGCCGAAGAAGAAGCCATGAACTTGAACAAACAACTATGGGATGAAAACTATCCAAGTAATCACTTAAGCTCTTCTTGCCTTCAATCAAATAATCCCTCGCAAAACATTACCAAATGGAGATGTGATGTGATAAGAGGGACTACTAGGTCGCGAAGGACGTTCATGCTGAGGTCTATACCGTTGTACATGTTTTTCAACACTGATCTCAAATCTACATCTCAATTTGGCGAAATAGTTCTGGAATCAGGGGCACAGAAGCGTTCCCCCTCCCCCCTGCAAGTTTTAGCAAGAGGGAAAGCGATCAGAGCAGTCGATACTAAAATGGAGAACCAAGTTCTTACAGTCAGTGCGTGTGTTTGTCTCTCTCTTTATACACTCTATGTCGAAGGCAGTCTTGCGTCTCGAACTGACTATCTAAAGCCTTCGGTAATTTAATAAACAACGGGAACAAATTCCAAGAAGAAGGTTGGTCTTCCCGCCTGTGACTTTTTTTTGCACTAAGGAGCGTTTCTGACCCAACGTTCAGGAAAGGATTAGGAAACCTCCGCTCACTTTGTATATTCTGGATGGATAGCATAGGAATGAATCTGAACGGGATGCTTTTTGGAAATTTTAATCCTGATTCCAGGACCGAAGATGGGCTAGTACAACTGATTTGATGATTTCAAAAAAGAACATCGTACTAATAAAGTATTGGTGGGCCCTACAAGAACACGTATGACGTAAAGTTAAAGCAGATGCTTCTCACGATGCCTTAATCATTCTATTATTTTTAATTCATCACCGATATTGACTATACGCAACTGAAGGCTTTACAGAGTCAGCAAGGAGGCGGAACTGCCTCATAAGGCATTAGCATACATTTCATGAAAAGTGAATTATAACATACCTCAAGCATCATGCAGCACTGAACGTTCGGTTCGCTCAATTCTCTTGCCACAGTCGTATACCACGGTCCTGTACGTTTGTCCTAAATGCTTTCGCTGATTTGTGATCCAGATATGAAGTTAGTGTTCAAAAACGCTCACAGCTGTATACATTTCGTCTTGGATGATCTCTAGTGTCCAACCCATTACCTTTTGATTTTTAATTTGCACTATGGTGGAAACATACTCTCGAAATTGCAACAATCGCGAGAAACCCTTTTTTTATTCTTCCTTTCAATATCATTTCCTATCACAAAGTGCTCTTGTTTGAAATATTCAAACGGTTGATAGCAGAGTTTTGAAGCCTTAATGTTTGCAGGCGCTCCTTCAGCAGCACACGACATCTAGAATCCAAAAGCAGTTGCGACTTGCTCATAACTTCTTGAATAAAGTTGTTTTCGATTTCTGTTCACCTCTTGATGCAATGGCGATTTTCCGTGGATTTCTTAAATATTTGTATGTGCTCAAAACCAAAGATAGCAGTTTTGTGCCCAGGATGGATTTTTTTGCTCGAGCGAAAAAGGCGATAGGAAATGTTGACCCCACATACGACGTTGACTCTTCGGATAGGTAAGAATTCATGATCATTGCATTATAATATTGTTATAGAATTTAAAAATTGATCATTTGAATTTCTGCTGCCTCCTATGCTCACCTAATCTGCATCTTCCTAGTGTTCTCTTTGCCCATTCTTTTTTATGAGGGTTTCCGAGACTGGGAAGGAGGTGATGCAGTGGCAAGTGCCTTTCGAGCTAGCCTTTCACTCGTCCCACGGAACGTTAGGCTTCGGGACGCATTCGGCGTCCTTCGGGACCACCCGGCCCGGTCGGACTGGCCTTTCGCCCAGGTGCTGATTAATAAATTATATACTATTGACATTATTGACACGGATTTATCGTAACATCCACAGTGAAAAAAAGTGGAATTATCGTGCTCAAAATCGAAATGGGGAAGCATGACTGGAATGACTACCACACCTTGACAGAATTTTTTTCAGACGGGAGGTTATACACATTCCTAGACACAGGAAAGGTCTCATCAAAATAAGAGTCATATTCGTAGGTTGAAATACGTCTATACTCCGTGGATTCTCTGTGGGACGGCATTTCTAATATTTGCACACGAATATGTTGGTGAACCGATTCAATGCTGGGCGCCGAAACAATGGGCAGTACGTTTTTCTGAGAAATTATGACCTTCAGAATCAACAGAAGTGGGGGTTTTCCCATCACTTCGACTGTACTTTTTGGATCCAACCCAAAATGAATTCAGGGAGGCTGGGAGCAGTACGCTGAGCAATTCTGCTTGATAGAGAACACCTATTTTGTGAAGATGAACGACTCAAATCTGCCAGCTGCACAAGAAAGAGAAGATCGAGAAATTCGATATTACCAGGTATGGCTTACATTTCCATTCATCCAATTCGCCATCCTTTTCATTACTTATTTCACCATAAATTCCATCGACAGCAGCGGTAAAAGAAACGAATACTCTAAGAAAAATTGGATAGAACTCCTGAAAGGTCAAAACGTTACTTACTTCCAGGTCGATACTTTCTTAGTAGTTCAACCCTTGATATATAATAGGTCAGCAGGTAAAAAAGTCGGAAGCTACTCACACCTCTTGGGAATTATTGACTTGAACATAAGCGGAGTAGTCTTGATATCAACTATAAACTCCCTTCCGAGCCGCTCATTCTATCCTTTGAGTGACATATTCTATGTCTGCTACATATAAAGGAAATCTCATTCTCCCCTTGATGAAAGAAGGCCACTGCTGAAGGTCAATACCTGAACGGAATTGTCTATATCTGGAGATTCTAGGAATTGTTGAAAAT